AAAGTTGCCAGGAGAAGACGGTTAGGAAATCCTTCATGATTGTCAAGGAAGGCCGCCGAGAATTCCTCCACTTTCTTCTCGAAGACTTCAGATTGTCGCACGTAGTTATCCAGTAGACAGGCCATCTCATCCTGCACAAATGGGTGGTTTTTCGCAAGTGCATGCGGCACCTCAAGCCTGGCCTCGACCAGCTCTTTCATCTTGTCGCTGAATTTGCGAAAGAGGCTCATCTGGGGGTTGGGATGCGGCTGAATTGGTTTCGCCATGAGATCAAAATAGGTCCGCAGAGCACCTTTCATGACCTCGATTTCCCCACTATTACGGTCCCGCTTGACGTTTCGTTGGTCGCTAAGCATGGAATCGATGAACCGCTCAACCGTTTCCCTCATCCTTTCGGCACGCGTCATGCCGTCCGAGCGCGCGACCTTGCGGCGGAAACCCTCCAAGTTCGGCGGCTGCCTTTCGAACATGTCTTTTTGTTTGCCCGTGTACCCGTATTGCACCTTGGCTGCTTCTGATAGGGTATCCCAAAGGATACCCAAAACATCAGTCAATCCTTTAGCAGAGGAGCGCTCAGCGATGTGGCGGCCGGTGCATACAAGATTATGCACATCAGCCAACCAATATTCGTCCTCAAAGGAGGGAGGGCGGGACTTCACCAAATCCACGTAGGCCTGACATGTCGTAGGTGTGGCCAACTGCGGACTTGTCCTCCGGCTAGTAGGTATCGCGTCCGCAATATCCTCCAGCGAAGTGTATAAACTCCGCTTTTTGATTTTTACTTGTTGTTGCCGCATGCCGTAAAAACGGGCGATGCGGCGAAGTATCGCCGGGAAGTCCTCATCGAGAATATCTCGCCTGTCCTCGAACATCTTTTTCTGGCAATCCTGCCGCCAAACTACGGAGACAGAGTTGCTGATAAGGATATCGATTGGACGCACGCCCTTCGGCAGCCTGATGATGGCATGAACCATCGCAGAAACGTCATCCTTGGTGAGTAGTGGATGCACACCTAGGTGAGCGCTGCGAACGATAGAGACATCGTCTCGATCATCACCGGCAGTAACAGCGTTAGAAAGACCAAAGAGAGGCGGAGCAGAGTCATTTACGACCTCGTCATCAGTGAGAGCAAAGTCCGCATCAGCCTCACGAGGAGCACCCGCCGCAGCAGCGACATACGCGTGAACATGGACGGAGCTAGTAAGTGCCCTAGGACTGGGGGCTACGCCTGTGTTTGAGGTAGTGCCGCCTTTGATGCTGCCAATGAATGACGCAACGTCGAAGCGATCGTCGCCACCAGCTTCACTCTCGGCAAGGTCAGCCTCATCCCGGTGTTCCTCGTCACCTTCGTCAGCGTCATCAGAGTCGAGGAATTCATCAGCGAGGTCGGCCTGATCAGCGTCCCACTTTTCCCACTCATTTTCTTCATCGTCTTGCCCTGCAAGCAAAGCGTTGACAACTCCGCCTCCGGGTCCGGCGGGGACGAGAGAGGCCTCACCGTCGGTGTCTTCGCGACGTCGCTTGATACTAGATGAAGCGTCCTGGTTTTTGTACCTCTCAGCGAAGCCAGCGGCATACTGCTGATCAGGAGTTACGAGTTCGGACTGGATGCCGAGAAGATTACAGATGGCGCGGATTTGGCCGTCCACGCCCTTCTTTGGGCCACCGACTGCGAGTTTCTGGCCTCTTTCGAAGTAACGGATGCAGACAGTTCCGTTGGAGGTGTTGAGGTCAGCACTGACGCCAAGCGCCTTCTTCTGACGTTCTAGAAGATAAACGCCGTCAGCGTTTGTACCCAGGAGGACTTCGACTTTTGGCCAAGTGACCCAGATGCTTCTTGCCCGTTTAGGGTCAGGACCTTCCACAAAGCCCTTCTTCTGACGTCCACGGCGCACCACAGGCGGCCTGCGAGAGAGATTGGCAGCGAAATCTGCGAAGCTTGGCATTTTGTTTTTTTTAGCAGGGTGAAGGCGAACGCCACACCAGTGTAGAAAGTAGATCTGCGTGAACCACGCGCGAACACAAGATAGGCAAGGTTTGGTCTGTTGTTGTTGCAGGATTCAGAACCAAGGTTCAGAAGAGAGCAGATGTGGTCACCGTCCCCAAGTTTTGATCGATGAAGAGCAGCACAGTCGGGCGGCAGAAAGATCGGAAATTTTTGCGTTTTTCCGCTTTTATTCCCACAGCGTTCAAGTCCGGTTCACTTTTTAGTGCAAAAATCGATAGGGTGTTAGAGTCAGATGGGGTCGATGCATCCGAGTTTTTTGTCCGCCCTGGGCGAACAGGTTTTGCGGGCGCGGACTGTTTGACAAAGTCCGCTACGGGAGCGGTGGACTCGACTGTTGCCGAACCTGTGCTGTTTTGTGGTGCTCTTGTTAGGCCTGTGGCCTTTGCTTGCTGTTGTGGTCACGACTGTTGTCGAGCCTTTGTTTTTTGTTGTCCCCGTCGGTGCGGTGGACTGCCTCCTTGTTGTCTTGTCTATCGAGGGCAACCCGATGACTTTTAGACTGAGGAAGGCTTACGGACCTTGTTTGTGCTGTTGTGAAGATTTGAATCTTCCTTGTTGTTTTTTTTTTTGTGCTTTTGCTGCTACGGACGTCCTACCGTGGTCACCACGTAATATTGTAGTTTAGTGGTCTCTCGGTGTTGTCTCTCATCAAGAAACCGACTACAAGGTCAGTCCGGTGTATTCGTAGCAGCGGGCAGGAGAACAGAAACGGGCCGGATATTTTGTAACAGTAAAAAATTACTAGTGCAGGTTTTTTAGCTAAGCTAATGCAGGTTTGACCGAAGTCGTTCAAGTTGTGACCGGAGTCGTTCAGGTTCGTACTTTTTCCCTGTCGGGTTGTTTTGGGTCTTGAGCGGGAAAGTGTGAAAATCATGCAAGTAAAAATAGGCCAATA